TTTTTCTTATAGTCTCTATGCAATTTCTTTTCTCTATGACATGTTATTATTTTTTGTGTGGTGAAATATATAAAACAAAACTTTTGCCATTTCAACCATATTTATGTCACAGTCCATCAACATTAATTATATTCATTATGTGTAACTAGAACCACTCTTCATTCTCAATTTTTTTCATCACTCTTAAGAGAAAGTCAGTACCCCTTAAGCAGTAACTTTCCTTTGCCCCCTCCCACCTTCCCCTTCTAGTTTTAAGTGCTGTCCGGTCAGTTCCTACTCACAGTAACCCCGTACAGGCTTTCCAACCAGCGGCTGGTGGGTTTGAATGGCCGATGTTGTGGTTCAAAGTCCAATGCTTATCCTACATAGCCACACCAGGAATTCTCCTTTTCCGGATATTGCCATTCTATTCTTAGTTGTTGTTATTGTTATGTGCCATGGAGTCGGTTCCGACTCATAGCGACCCTGCACAGGGTTTCCGAGGCTGTAAATCTTTATGGGAGCAGAAAGCCTCATCTTTCTCCCAAAGAACAGCTGGTAGTTTTTAGTAGTAGGTGCTTAGTAAATTTAACATTTTTAAAGCATCTACTAGGGAGTGGGATGATAAACATTGGACTGTGAACTACAAAGTCTGAGATTTGAGCCAGCCAGCTGCTCTGAAGAAGAAACATGAGGCTTTTTACTCCTACAAAGATTTCAAAAAAAACCCACAACCCTATATAAGGTTGGAACTGACTTGAGCGCACTTAACAGCAAAAACAAAGCCTAAACTAAGCAGTTGCTAGTAGATCTACAACTGTTGATTGTTATTTATTATACGATTACATAGGCGTCCTGGTGTGGTGCTGTGGGTTACTGTGCTAGACTGCAAAGTCAGTTTGAACCAAAAGGTAGACGGTTCAAGCTCACCAACTGCTCCTCGGACATACAATTGTATGGACTCCTGGCGTGGCACTGTAGGATAAGCACTGAACTGTGAACCACCAGTTCAGTACTTCAAACCCACCAGCTGCTCCTTGGAAACCCTGTACAGGATCTCTATGACTCGCAATTGACTTGATGGCACTTAACAACAAGTAAATAGAGTCCTGATGTGGCACACTAAACCCAAAGGTTGGTTTGAACTGCAAGGTCAGTGGTTTAAATCTGCTAATGGCTCCTTGGAAACCCTATACAGGGTTGCTATGAGTTGGAACTGACTTAACAGCAGTAAACAACAACAACAACAACACACATTATATGGAGCCCTCATGTGGCTCTGTAAGATAAGCACTGGTAACCGAAAGGTCTGCAGTTCAAACCCACCGGCAGTTCCTTGGAAGTCCTATACAGGGCTGCTATGAGTCAGAACTGACTTGAAGACACTTAACAACAATTGTTGTTGTTGTTAAGTACCGTGGAGTTGGTTCCGACTCATAGTGACCCTGCATAGGGTCATCTTTCTCCCACGGAACTGCTGGTAGTTTCGAACTGCCAACCTTGAGGTTAGCAGCCCAATTCATAACCACCACGCTACCAGAGCTCCTTCTTAACAACAATAGCATACAATTATACGGAGTCCTGTTTGGTCCTATAGGATAAGCACTTCATTATTAACTGCAAAGTCAGCAGTTCAAATCCACCAGTGCGCTTGGAAACCCTATGCAGGGCTGCTATGAGTCAGAACTTACTTGATGGCACTTTTAACAACAATAATACAACTATACAGGGAGGCTTAGTAGCATAGTGGGTTTTAGTTGGGCTGCTAACCACAAGATCAATAGTTCAAATCCACTAGCCGCTACACTGGAAAAAGGTGACGGTTTATACTCCCGTAAAGATTTCTGTAATGATTAGAAACAAGGTAGCTAAGAGTCAAAGCTCACTCAGTGGCACATAACCACCGCCACACAACTTATACATAAAGAGACTTAGTCTTATTGAAGGCTCTCAAGAAGCACGCTGGTTTTCCCTGAGTGTTCTGTTCTGTTTTCATTCATACTCAAAGTTCTACAAATGATAATCACATATTAGTAGACTGAACCAGCACCTTCAAAAATATTTTTACAAAAATGCAAGAAGTAGGTCCGCTCTGTCATTGTTAATAACAAAACTCAAACAAATTACTTAAGGGGTAAAAATGTGATGGTTTAAAATGATAACTTTGAATGGGCAAAGCTAGCTAAACATTGCTGAATACTATTCTAACATGTCTTTCCATCAGGTTTTGGCTGGTTGAAGAGCTAGGTTTACAGAAAGTAGTTCTTAAGTAAATAAAGCAAAATACTGCCAGCCTTGAACAAGCATTTCTGTATTTTTTAATGAGAGAATGACAAATATCTAATAATGACAAATTAAAATACCCAATTTTGACAGTGAGTTTGTTCAGAAATGTCTGGTTTTAAAGGAGTTCTAGGTTTTTATTAGAGTCATGGTGTGGTGCTATGGGTTAATGTGCTGGACTGCAAAGTTGGTTTGAACCAAAAGGTCGACGGTTCAAGCTCACCAGCTGCTCCTAGGAAACCCTATACAGGGTTGCTATCGGTCAGAGCTGATCGGCAGCACTTAACAGGCTTTTTTGGAGTCCTGGTGTGGTGCTATGGGATAATGCACTGGACCACAAAGTCAATTTGAACTGCAAGGTTGGTGGTTCAAATTCACCAGACGCTCCTCAGAAACCCTATAGAGCATTACTATGAGTTGGAACCAACTTGACGGCATTTACCAACAACTATAACAGACTTTTATTAGACTCCTGGTGTGGCACTGTAGGATCAGCACTGGGTTGCAAACTGCAAGGTCGACAGTTTAAACTCACAAGCCTCTCTCAGAAACCCTATAAAGGGCCGCTATGAGTTGATTATACAAGCAACAACAGGCCTTTAGAGTGATGAACAGTTAAGGCTTCCATTTCCAGCTTGTCCTTGCTTCATCTTAGTTTTCCTTCTTCTTCTTCTTCTAACTTTCAGACATCTGGTAAATTTGCACAATTGGGATTAATTTATTATGTTTCAGCCAAAGAGGAAATGCCTAGTATTGCCCTTCCTTCACAAGGGTTCCAATCAACCTCACTGCCTTCAAGTTGATTCTGACTGGTAGAGACCCTATAGAACAGAGTAGAACTGCCCTGTAGGGCTTCTAAGGTTGTAAATGTTCAGCGAAGTAGACTGCTACCTCTTTCTCTCTATGGAGTGACTGGTGAGTTTGAACCACTGACCTTTGAGTTAACAGATGAGCACCTTACTCACTGTATCACTAGGGTTCTCTAGAGAGGTTCCAGTAGTTGCAAATTCTATAAGAAAAAAGTGGCACCATGGGACTCATTTCATCTGCTAAGTGATGCTTAGAAAATGGCTCACATCTGCTCAGCTGAAGCACGCCTGGCAATTGATAATCAAAGAGCACCATACACAGAAATAATTATAGGTGGGCAGCAGCTGAATGGAGGTGTGATGTCCTATGTCAAAGGGAAGCATCTCAATCTGTAAACACGTTTACCATGAAACCCAGCATCAGACAAGAGAGTGAGAATAACCTCTTCAACAACCAGTTCATCATCAGTCATTTAACACTGGCTTCTTGACCAAAATCTCAGGAAGGTGGCAAATCACCTTGTGTGTCTATGGCCAAGAGCAGCCCTGACACTAACCTCATTCGGTTTCTCTTGGAAACACCAGGGTGAAGACATTTGGCATCTTTTTATTCAATCACAACTCTACTCCATCCTTGTTGTTATTGTTAAGTACTGTCAAGTGGGTTCCAACTCATAGAGTCCCCATATAGGGTTTCCAAGGCTCAACTGATAGCTTTAAACCACCTATGCCCCCTAAAACTGAACAAATGCTTTTCAGTTTTTTTCTGGAGGCACAACATGGAAGGGGATTCTAAAGATAGTACCCATATTCACTAGCAGAGAAAGAAAAAGACCATTTTCTGTGCCAGGGGCACATTTATCAATTATTCTCTACCCTATTTTTTAGAAAGAACAACCTCATCTTAAGGTACTGGGAATAGCCAGATCAATATGAAAGTTTTGCTCAACTGAAATTGTTGAATGATGGGAGGCCATTTACAAAGATTTAAGATGCTAGGTATCATCTTCTGTGCAAAGGAATTGAACTAGAGGAACAATTTAAGGTTTTTGCAGATCTAAAATGCAGACCCATCGAGATTCATCATTTCCAGATTCTAATAGTGACCCCCTGCAAATTCCAGTAAAGTACATGCTGTCTATACCCCAGCAAACCTTCTGGATAATAAGAATGTGCAGAGTAACTCACTGCCTTATACTTGGCCCTGAGCTTTCTACTAAAGGCACAAAAAACACATGCAACTTACATGGGGAAAAAAATGAATTGTGTTTCCCCTTTAGAAAAAAAAAAAAGCACAATTTTACAGTTGGCTATTTGTTTTCTGCTTATTTTGAGCTGAGTCATTTGCATTTCTCAGATCTGAAAATCTAATAGCTACTCTGCAGACAAACAAGCATTTTTAAGCACATACATACACACACACACACGCACACACACAGGCATGTATGTGCACACATATACAGTCCTTAAATGAATCACTAGTGGATTTCAACCCATTGCTGTTGCATGCAATTCTAAAGGAAAAGATTTCATTTTCAGGTCATTTTAATGAAATTTGCACACTTGTTCCATTTCTTTTATATCATTCAACATATCCTTCATACTCCTGATCTCCAAGTCAAATTCTGAAAACACCAACCACAGCAACTCCAAAGACAGAATCCCATTCAACTTTGGATCCACAGCTGAGGTTGACACACTATAATATAAAAAGTATATAAAGCCAGACTTGCACGCACTGCATATCCTTGGTGAGCTAACCCAAAGAACCGGAGCAAGACTGCATGTAAATTTCATTGAAGTGACCAGGACAGTGTCCAATATTTTAAGCAGAGACCACAAGTCAGAAAAAGTGAGGCACATTCAGAAGCAAACCAGTGCTTGCTCTCCAAACAAAAGTCAGCAGATCTTGAAGGTCCTTCTACTTACCCTGCATAGCGGTTGTTGTAAAGGTGGCTGTGCCCTGGCTGCAGAATCTTCATAAAGAGCAAGCACAGAGGCAGGAAGGCAGCTGTCCTGCTTCTGGACTTTCCAAGCAACTTCATGACTGTTTCAGTGAGAGGCGTTGAAAGTCACTACAGCAGACATCCAGGGCTGGACTGGTTAACAGCACCCCTACACAGGCTCTCACAAGTTCTCTTGGAGTGGACTGGGAAGTGAGCAAGATGTGACACTTCTCTCTAGTTAAAAAAAAAAAAAAAAAGTTTAGGCAGCACAGCCCACACAGCCCAACTTAGGCAGGCAGCAACGGAGCCTGAGATTTCCTCAGTTCTCTGGAAGGGGCTGGGCCTCCCCTGTGCTGACTCACAGCAGGGGTTTCACTGGGTGCTGCTTGCTTGGGGGAACTCCCCTCTGTTTCTGCTTTGTTTGTATTTCCATTGCAGGCCTGTTAACTTTCTTTTTTTTCCCAAACATTTCTCCCTCTGCTACCTACAGCATGAGGACCAGTCCTAACTAACAGTGAACGATTACTCTGAGGATGAGTTAAACATGCAGGCAGAGAACAATTCTGACTTAATGATTTGATCTCCAACAGTGGATTTCTACATAGCTCCATGTGTCAAAATACACAGTTGTTAGGTTTGGTGGGGTAGGGGAGGGGTGTAAATTGAGCACCTTGATCCCTAGAAGAGGCCTTACTATTGATGTACCCACGCAGCAGTGGTTCTGTGGTCTTCAGAGAGCCCTTCCAATGCATCTGCATTAGCTGCAATCAGACCTGCTGCTTTTATTAGAAGATGTGAGGCCTGCCACTGCTTTTCCACGTTGGATGCACATTTAGAATCAAATAGGGAGTCCAGGCTTTTGCATCAGAACACTTATGGGTGGGGCACAGGGTTGAGTAACTTAAAAAAGGTCCTGAGTTGATTCCAGTGATCAAGACAAGGTTGAGAACCACTATGCCAGTGTGGAGCATGCTTCTTCAAATTGAATGGAGGTCTTATTATAATACAGATTCTGAGGCAGTAGTCAGGGGCCTAGGGCCTGAGATTCTGCATTCCTGACTAGCTTCCTGGTGATGCGGACATTACTGGTCCTTGAGCCACATTTTGAGCAGTTGTTGAGTACCATAAGGCAGTTCTGCTCATAGCGACCTTGTGTAGATTTACTGAGGTGGAAAATCTCTACAGGAGCAGAAAGCCTCATCTTTCTTCCATGAAGTAGCTGGTGGATTTGAACCACCAACAATGATTCAGTTAACAGCACACTGCATAACCCACCATAACACCAGAGGTCCTCACTTTGAGTTGTTGTTGTTAAGTGCCATTGAGTTGGTACCAACTGATAGAGACCCCATATAGGGTTTCCAAGGAGCATCTGGTGAGTTTGAACTGCCGACCTTGTGGTTTAAACTGACCTTGTGGTCCAGTGCTTATTCCACAGGGTCACACCAGGTCTCCTCAGATTGTTGTTGTTAAAGCTGCTGAGTCAGTTCTCACTCATAGCGACCCTATGTAGTATTTCTGAGGAGTAACTGTTGGGTTTGAACCACTGACCTTATGGTTCAAGCCAACCTTTCAGTCCAATGCTTTATCCTACAGCACCAGACTTTATTTTGGAATGATGTGTCTCTCTCTCTACAAAATGGTGTGAAGGAGAGGGGAGAACCCTGGAGCAAACCATTTCCTTCTCCCTTTTTCCAGGAAAGTGATGAATAAGGTTTTTTCCTTACGTTTGGTTCTTGTTTGTTTGTTTTGCTTCCACTTGCTTATAACCAAATACACTAGGAAACCCATTTTTTGAGGTGTCCTTTGCTCCATTAAATGAAAATAGAGCTATTGAGGCTACTTCCTGTAATCCCCTCCCACATCCTGACCATACTCTGAAAAAGAGAGCAAGCCAATGTCTCTTCTATCAGGCTCATTCACATAATTTTCAAATATCAAAAAAAATAAACCTTGGTCAACAACTTCTAAACCCTCTAGTAGAACAGCCAGAGCACCTGTTAGATTGGAAACAGCCAGATTAGTCCCCCTTTTTTCCTACCTGGCAAACTCATACTCAGATTCCTGACAAGGCAGAAATGATAGTCATGTGAAATGATTTTCTGTGAAGTTTTTCTGGATCTTCTGTAGGGTTACTTTAGTTGATCTATTCTCTATGTCCCCTGCCAACATTTGGTATGATCTTTGCTGTAGACAATATTGTTGTTTTTGTCAAGTCAGCTTCCAACTGTTGGCTACCCCACACTCAACAGAATAAAACACTGCCTACTCTTTCGTCATCCTTTATGACAGGTGGTGGTCCATAGGTTTTCACTGGTTGATTTTCAGAAGTGAATCTCGAAGCTTCTTTGTCTAGTCCAATTTAATCTGGAAGCTCTGTTGAAATTTGTTCAGTACCTATAGCAACATGAAAACCGCCAATGCTAGATGTACGGTGGCCGTACATAAGGTACATTGGAATCCAGGTTCCTGCATGTTGTTGTTGTTGTTGTTAAGTGCTGTCGAGTCGGTTCTGACCCATAGCAACCTTATATAGGGTTTCCGAGGAGCGGCTGGTGAGCTTGAACCACCAACCTTGCAGTTCAAATGGCTTTGCAGTTTGGCGCATTAACCCGCAGTGCCACACCACAGGAAGTGAAAATTCCACCACCGCTTTAGGATCAGCACTAATGGTTAACCACAAAATTAGTGATATAAACCCACTAGTTGCTTCTTGAAAACCCTATACAGGGTCACTATGAGTTGGAACTGACTCCATGGCACTAAACAACAACAGTAGCTACCACAGTCTCACTGAAGGACATACCATATTGAATTTAAGTATTGGTCCAGTTTCTTCACAAGACTTTCTTCTTGAATGTAGGATTGGGTTCTTTTCACCTTATTTCCCCTGCAGGAAATCCAATGTTCATTGAATGGTTGACCAGCAAAGTTTCTCATTGATGATAAACCTGGGAAAGGATTCACTTGGATATGCAGATAGAGAAGAGAGCACCAGGGAAGCAAAAAATACTACAGAAGCTCTTAGAAGTGACAGTTCCCAAGCCCCCACCTCACCCCCACCCCCACCGCCACCCTATACACACACTAACTGGTTAGGGCTCCTGTGTTTGTTTCTTTGTCTCTGCTGTTGTTTCTGTCCTTCCAGTTCCAGACTTGATGGCCTAATGCTTTGGGGCCTTTGTAAACTGAAGCCTGCTCTGCAAGTCTCACAGAGATGCTTCCTGGGGCCTTTTGAGGAGTACAGGAAAGCCTATAGGACAGTCAGTGAACTGTTGAAATAAGAGGTTATTGTGTAAATAAAACACTTCATCTCTTTGCATTTCATTTTGTCAGAGCAATGAATAAATCTGTCATATTATATCACAACATTAAACTAGGAATGTTCAGTCTCTGACTGGGAATTAAGCTCATTCTCAAATCATTTTGGAAGGATTGGATCTAGTGAGCATAGTCAACAAAGGTCTTCAAACTCTGAGATGAAGGTAATAACTTCCTGGGCCATCAGAAATGAAGAGACACTGAAAACATCCTATAACTTGCCTAAAAAAAAAAATCAGATCAAAGAGAAGTTCTCAAATAATAGCAGTCATTCCTAGCAAATCTTATTCTGCTTTTCTAAGGACCAGGTTATCTGATCAAGATTCTCTTGTAAAAGATAAGCACCCATAAAATGAGTGATAAATGGACTCCATTTAGCCAGTGGGAGGAGAAGAGAACAGTTTTACAGATGGGTTCAGGGATAAAAGTTCCATTTTTAAGGCACTGAGAGTGGGTGAATTATTAAACCAGTTAGGGATTAGGGATGAGAAGATGAGAAATTCTACTTGTTGACTATGCCTTCATCATATTTCAGTGCAAGAGTGAACTTCCATGTTACCATGCAGAGAAAAAAAGGAAACTACACTGAGAAAGCAAAATTCTTGAATTGGGCTCACTGGTGATGATTAAGCCGGTAGCACGTTGAGTTAGGCATTGGGCTGCTAACTGCAAGGTCAGTAGTTCAAAACCACCAGCTGCTCCAAGGGAGAAACAGGAGGCTATCTGTTCCCATAAAGATTTGCAGTCTCGGAAGCCCTGGATAGGGTCACTGTGAGTCAGATTCAACATGATAGCAGTGGGTTTGCATTTTTGGTTGATGATTAAATAATTATTAATGTTCTTCCCATATCAGAAATTCTACAATATTTCAAGTTGTTGCTGAGTGCCTTTGAGTTGGTTCTGACTGAATAAAGTTTCCTAGGTGTGAGTGGTGAGTGTGAACCTCTGACCTTGCAGTTCAAACTGACCTTTTTGTTGAGTGCATTATCCTGCAGTACCACACCAGGAAGATGTGGTTAGGCTTTGCCATACAGGCAACCCTCTCATTGTGGTTAGTTTTGTGTTTATCCCTCAATGACTTATTAAAACATATACCCACTCCTCTTGCATACTATATCTCTTTAATGGGTTTTTGCTACAGTTCCAATATGTGATTTACTAACAAATGGGAAATTAGGATGATGCCTTACTTGTTCTTGGCAGTTCTGTGAATAATGTTCTGAACCTTCCTTTAGCAATACATCACTAATGATTTCCTCCCAATAGTCTTTGTCAACACCATTGGCTAATCTTTCTTGCTTCTCTTTCTTCATTTTTCTTTTTTCCATTGTCCACATCTATTCTATCCTCAAAAATCAAAGAACCTTTTCATCAACTCTAATCCAGATGCAAGATATTCCTCTGCTCTCTCCTATTTTTTTCTCTTTCGGGCTTTTTGAAAGTACTCTCTTGAATCCTGGACAATATGACTTCCAGCTCTTCCACGCCAACCTGAAACTTATTCTCAAAGATCAGTAGAGATCTGTTTGAAAGTTTTTTTTTTCCTTCCTTGGGATCCTTCCTTGGAACATCATCCTCTCCTGTTCTTTTTTCTAAGGGTCTTTCTCATTTTTGTTTACTTAAGAGTAGATCTTTATGGTGCCTTTTGTTTTTCATCTTCTCACTAAAGATATGGTCCCTGCCTTACTGAAAGTTGTTATCAAGTGCTGGACAGTGTGGGTAGACAATCACATAGTTAAATTGTGTGGTTCAATTAATTCTGTGGAAACAAATATTAGATGTTGCGGTAGAAAGTTAAGGGGAAGCAGAGCACATGTGTAGTATGTTTAGAGAAGACCTCTCTGAGAGGTAGACATTTAAACCAAGTATGAGAAGGGGTCAACTGTATCAAGAGGAGAGTGGTGGTGTTGAGGGAGTGTGGAGTAAGAGGGGATCATTTCAAGCACA